CTCTCTCTCTCTCTGTCCAAGATGTTTTGGTAGATTTTCTGAAGCTTGGGAAATCTGACAGCTGAAAGAATAAGAGCCAGATAAGACTGACAGAGCATGAAGAAATCATTTTCTCAATGTAATGTGACATACCAAGTTCTCAAAATAAAAGGCGTAACCATCCAGAATGGACTTATAACGCTCTATCGTCTGTCCTTCAGCTGAGGCTGCTGCGTAATAATGTTGCTCAAAGGCATTTCCGTTTGTGTAAGAGACAAAGGAGCGTGCTTCCAGAGACATATGAGATCCATCGTGGACTTAGGGGTTGAGGGTTTAGGGTTGAGGGCTATAATCAAACAAATTACAGTCTACACACTTCTAGCATGCAATGTAGAGATGGAGCTTACTATCCCTTCTCAATCATCACTTATGACCCATTAGAAGTGTATGGTGGTGTCTGTATCTGCGACCCTTCCCTCTGCCTGTATTTTATTATGTTGTTTTGTGCGGGACGTTTCTGGGCATCAACCTTTGGGCAGTGCGCAGGGTGTGAGGGACGCTATAAATACGTAGAGAGCAGATTGCTGTCTGCGTCTTTCTCTCCTGCTCTCCAGTGCTGGCCCAGCATAAAAACACCTTCTGCAGGATTGTGCAGATGTGTTTAAGAACATAACGGCTGATTCACTGTTTTATTCTTCGTAGCAGCGCTCTCTCTGTCCATTCAGTCTCTACTACCATTGCTGTACTGCCACCAAATGTCGATATGCAGGTATAACCACGGATACTTTAAGATAGTTGAATACTCGCTCTTGACTTGATAAAGTCAGCCTCACTCTGTTTATTAGAATGAATGGGAGCCATCTTTGAGTGCTGTATCTGGATTTGGCATACAAAAAAACATGGACCCACTGTCAAAACATTGCTTAACAGTGCCACCAGTGGTAGCACACACAGCACCTTTCATTTACAAAGCCCTTGGGTACGGCATGATGGTCCTTGTCACTAATATCATTTGCCGTGAACACTTGTTTAGCTGTTGTCAACTAATTTGCCTTTTAAAATGGACCAACACCAGATGACATGATGTTAATGATACTTCAGGAGCAAGGGCCCGGCTAGCAATTTTTGTTTGATCTATCTTAATCTGCTCTATTATGGTGACAAACACAATAAAATTCACTCATTAACTGGGTAACTAACTATGACATGATGACTGTGTTGCGCAGCCAAATTTTTCCATACCCGTCTCTTCCAGGGTGATGATCATGGTGCCGGGTCCAAAGGAGTTCCAGGCGGTGCAGTTGTAGGGCGAGTGGAAGTCAGACTCCATGACGTTGTTGATGGTGAGCGTGGAGAGGACAGCACCACCCTGGGACGGAGGTTTACTCTGCTCCACAGTGTACCTCTCCATCAGGGTGCCCTTCTCCTTCTCCCACACGTTCTCCTTCCATGCCCAAACCTGAGACACACATTTCAGAAGGATTATTTAATACTGCTCTTCTTTTACCTAGGTTGTACCTATACATCTAATTGTACATTTGTTCTACTAATTATAGCCTTTAAATTCTTTTTGACGTGATGTTGTGTTTTTTATCAGTGTGGTCTATTTTGTGTGTTGTTTAAAAAGTTGTATATTAAGTTGTATCATTATTTTAACATTCAGTTATGAACAGATATATGAGATCAATGGTTGCAGGTCACTAGAAAGCACTTTGTAGGTAAGACTTGCTCTCATCCTCACGCCATGTGATCTGCCACTTAAAAAGGATTGCATTATAATGGTAAAGCAGCCGTATGTCAATTTAGGATTGAGCTAAGATTAATAGCTTGGTACATCTGTACACTGAAACGCTTGTAAATCTATAAATCTTTTCCTAATCAACACAGCAGGATAGGGCTGATAGGAGCTCTGTATTAGCATAGTGAAGGCGCAATTTCCAATATGTTTTATTTGTCTGATTTTCACTACACTCTTTACTGCTGCAATCACCCGATTTCCCCTCAGGGATCAATAATGCTAATTTCACCTTATCTTATCTTACGTAGGATTAACCACACAGACACGAACACACACACAAATAATCGCAACGAAACATCCAGCAAACAGATTGTGGATGGTGTTCAGAAAGGTTAAGCAAGTCCAGGCAGGAAATATATTTTAAGCAAAACAAATTATATTCTCACACCTTGGCAACTTTTTTTTGCAGTGCAGTATATGCCTAATTAAAATGTGTGCAGCAACTTTTTAGGCTGAGAAAGAAAGAAATTCCTCACAAATAAATCACACACACAAGAGTGCAGCAAGTGTACATGAGTGATAAAAACTCAAGCAGGTTTTTCTACTTAAAATCTGGGTAGGTAGAAATTTGAGGGTATTAAATATGTAGCATGGCAATATCAAATATACATACATATATGTTGGGCTAATGTACCTTTTAACCTGGTTTGAAAAAATGAAAAAGGATGAAGCGATCAAGAGTTGATGAAGGAGAATTATTTTAAAAAGGGACCAAATCTTCAGTTATTTTCCTCTGACAGTCTTACATAATGTGTCTTTCTGTCTCTGCAGTCTGCCTCTCAGAATCCCTTGCTTTCTTTCTTTATCTCTTTTCCTCACAATAATTTTGTTGCACCACCAATGTCTGTATTTCTGTCTCTTTCTCAATTTCTCATTGCCTCTTTTACGCGCATGCACATACACACACACACACACACACACACACACACACACACAGCACCATACTCCATATTTTATAAGTCCTTGTGTCTCTGCATTAAGCCGAGACTATAATGTCGTATCACATTATACGCTCTAAGCTCTCTGCCAGTGCAGCAAGGGGGCTGAAGCTTCCTAAAAGCTCTGATTTCTGTCATGTCGGCAATGCACAATTGGATAATTGACGCTGAAAGGTACAGAATTTTTCTCTCCCTCCATCTCTCTCCCTCTCATTTCAATCTATTTCACCCTCACACTCTCTCTCGCTCACTCTAGCCTTCAAACTCAAATGTCTTTACTGGATTTATTTCCATTTTGGCTTCTTTCTGTGATTTGTGAGCATTCTGGTATTTCCCTTTCTTTTTTGGGTTTATATCACATACCATACCACTTATTTTGTAACCTATATAATGCACAGCCACTTTATATTAAACTGTAGTTTGATCAAGTATTGCACTCAGCGACTTCAAGAAAAGGCAGGAATGAAAAAACTGCTTACAGTTCTGCAGTTAAGGCACATTCAGGAGGATATTCTATTACAGTTTGCTGCTGAGGCAATCTGTGTGAACGCTTTCTTACAGAGAAAAGATGGTTACCACTTTGAAAGGGATCACTGAAATGGAACGGTTTTGGCTGATAGGTGCAATTCATACTTAAATCAAGATGGTATAGATGACCCTTTTCTGGTGAACGTAGCTGTTACGATAAATGGTCTTAAGGCCACCATTTGTAGAATTTTATGTGATTCATTCTTTTTAATTGATACAATCCTGGTGAAAATCAGTATAAGTGTTCCTTTAAAGAACAAGCAAGTAGGGTTTAGGGGCAGATTGCAACCAACTTGCCTCACCCTCCCCTTCCAAGTGTGAAGAAGAAACTACGCTGGCCACAAAACATGGAAAAGAAAGTGTTCAGTTTGGCTATTCTGTGCTACTGTAGAAACATGGCAATCATAACACCTTGTATAGATTCTTGTGGTGAGCTGATTTTGATGATTAGCTGGATGTGGGTTTCAATAATAAATATTTCCACATTTAAAAAAAAACCCAATGTAATGTACTCATATATCCACACATTACACTGTTAACACTGGAAGCCGTGTTCTCCGTTTTTCATGATTTATTGTATCTAATCTTCTATCTTCCAGCATTTCAGTGGAACATGTGTACAGTACTGTGTGTCTCCTCTTTCATTTCAGCCAAACACTACACCAGCTGTTTTTGATGAGTCACACCTTCCACCACAGAGGAGGAACAGATCGTTCTCACATACTCATGACACAGTTGGAGAACAATGCCACTTGTGCTAATCGTTTAGCTAGTAACACGAGCTGAAGAGGAAGAAGTAAAAATCATTTCGTTTTCTGGGGGGAGGACAAGGACTTGTTGTGATCAGGATTCTGTCTGAGGCAGATGTTATCTGTAAACGGTCGAGCACCTCTGCAGCAGATTACAACTTCCAAGGATGGACTTACAATCTTATCAGGTGGGGGGGTGCTCGCGATGTAACACTTGATCTCTCCTCTCTCTCCTCTGACAGCATACTGGACTGGATCACTGGAGATGATGGGGGGGCCTTAAACAGAGAAATAAGAGGATTACTACAACAAAAAATATGTTTTAAGAAGCACACAAGAAATCAACTTAACAACAAATCAACAAGTCATTACCACCAGTGAGAAGACTGGAACATTTTACACCATATTTGACAATGTGATAGCCTGGTTCCAGGTGTTTGAACCAATGCCTGCATTTATGAATTTTTCAGCAATTCAAAGTGATCTGCTCAGTGATGTCGGTTTCCCAGTTGGAAAAACAACCGAGCCAATCAGAGGGTTGTAGATTATCATCTTCATGATCCAGAGCTAGAATCAAATGATAAAGCTTTAAGCAACAGCTTGTGTTGACTGATAAGTCAGTCACTATTAAATTGCTAGGACAAAATTGGAATCGGTCTCTCCAAACTTTTTAACAGAATTTCAAATTATATGTGGGGCTTTGCAGTGAAGTATTTGGTGAATTTGACTCTGGAATTCACACTCTTGACCAATTGTAAATTGTCTTGCTTGTACACCTTATGCTACACCATAGATAATGTTTGCGTCCTAAAAAATCAAACAAAATGACAGGGCTATGGCAGCAGTAGATATAGCATGAACAAGTGGATGAAAGACTCATCTGTAGCTTTTCCGTAACACACATCTAGCAAAGAATATTGTGAATATTGTCGCTCACATTGCATAATGAATTAAAGAACATAAACAGAGCAAATGAACAGCAGTAGTAGCCTATTCAGCAAGGTGTTGAGGAAAAATAACATTTACCTGGATGTAACATGACATGTGAACCATCACAAAGTAAATGAATAATGTAAACACAATTACTGTGGGGAATAATTAACGTGCAGTATGGCTTGATAATGTATGATGCGTTTTGTATTGTGGTGGTGAACAGTTGAAATCTGATGCTGAAGTATAAATCAAAACCTAGGCCACAAATATCTATGGCAGGTCCAGCTTAACCTCTTGCTTCAAGATATATATAAACCCAGCTGGAGAACCTAAAACAGAGAAAGCGAACACATTAGCTGTGTTGTGCCATCCATTAACTTTGCTCTGCTACAGTCTCGAGAAAGGAAAAGATGATGCAAATACTTTCGTTTGAATCAACTGTATTAACATATTGTCCAGTTAGTGAAGAATTGCAACAGTAGTCATCAGCTCATCAAGCTTTCAGCAACACATATTTCACAAGGACGTGCCAATGAATGTCGCTCTCCCCGTTTTCAGTTTGAGCAGGCACATTGTCAGCTGGCGAAGATTTGTGAACTCCTTTTTCGTTATTGTGTTCTTGGTGAATCAGTTGTGATTTATTAAGTAATTGCTGCTCTCTCGGGGAGAGAGTTTTGACATTGAGACATTGGCTTTGGGCCTGTTAAGGACTGAAAAATTATCTGCTGGGTTTGGGTCAAGCTTGGGCTGGAATGAATCAAGCCGGATCGACATAAATACAAGGCTCATGCAGCACTCTACTTTACATTCAGTGACTTCAGCTGTGAGAGAGAGACACAGATACATACTGGATGATTCTAGATTAAACAAACACATCATGGAGGTCCAAGTGGTTTCATTATTCATCTTCCATGTTCGACACAGAAACAGGGCTTTGCTGTGCGTAGGAAGATCTCTTCTACATTATTTAAAATAGTTTTTGCTAATAGCAGCACTGTTATTAATAGCAGAGTAATTGGATAGTTACTGACCGTTGACTGTGAGTGTAACTTCAGTCTCTCCCACTCCAATCCGGGGCACGATGGCCTTGCAGACATACTGACCCGCATCGGCCTGGCTCACTGACTTCAAATACAGCTGGTTGTTGTTGCTGAGCACCTGGACGCACATACACAAGCATACTGTAAGTACTGTAAGCATAAAAGCAGGATAGTAGGTTTGTGAGGTGGAGAGTGGAGATAGACAGACAGGGAGAAATGTTGAAAAGAGGGCGGGAGGGAGGAGATCTATATTTAATTCATAAAACATGTTGATTTACTCAGCAGGCTCCATTAGTTTTTTCCTGGAGCTTTTCTTAACTTGTTAGGCATGAATTAAAGATTCAAGATATGAAGACGAAGTCTCACTCTAGTCGTCTGCTTTACAACTGTGCAAACATTTATGAAGTCTGGGTCTTGGACATTAATATAGGCTGGGATCGAGGTTTAGTTCCAGGAGTGGGATTTACCCCAGTATGTTTAGTTCTGACTTGTTCTTGTGGGAATAAATTTGATTTCAGTGAACTAATAACTCAAATTAGACATGAATAAAAAATGTTTAAGGTCAAAGGTCAGGGAAAGGTTTGATGCTTTGTTCTCACCATGTTGGAGCCCTTCTTGGTCCAGGTGAGGGTAAGAGGGGGGTTGCCTGACCATTTGCAGTTTAGAGTGACGTCAGAGTCCACATCTACTGTAACTGGCCTGGGCTCCACTACCAGAATTGGGCCAACTGAAACAAAGTACACAGACACATTTTTATGAAATACAGACTTGGGGATCATCCAGTGGCCCTAAAAAATGTGGTTAGATGGAAAAGGATGACTGAAACTGAAACATATAGCTGGGAGGAGAATATTTCTTATCATAACACAATACATATTTTAGTGTGGTACATTTCCCTGTCTCTCCTTTAATTCTATGTACTGTGATTAACATACAGTATATTTTCTTTTTCTTTCTTCTCTTTTCGGATTCTGTATATTTCTGGATTCATTTAATTTCAGCAATAGTTGCTTTCATTAACTAGTTCTTTAATTCCATATTGCTGCAATTTTATTTATTCATTCTTCATATTTACTTTGCTGTTTAGGCTTTGTCAACAAATTCCATAAGGCTTTGTTGAAATAAACTGGACAGAACTGAGAGAACAGAATATACAGAATCCATGCAAATTTATTCTGCACAATACACGACTACAGTGTAGTGACAAAATAAATGCAGTGTGGCTCTTCAAACAAATACTGACAAATATAGCCACTAGAACACATACATATCATCCCCACTCGGCTCAGGAGTGTTTGCACTCTACTCACAGTGCACGTCCACCAGGATGCTGACGTTGGTGCTTCCCACAGCGTTGAAAACTTGACAGGACACGGGCTCGGTGAAGAAGGAGTGATCTGCTGTGGTGACAAACACACTTTCTCTGGCCCCCTCCAGTAGCACGCCACCTTTTGCCCACCTAAACACATTTAACAAGTTTTCAGGCATTACAAATCATTGTTATGTCTGTTTGTCAGCAGGAGGATGAGCAC